GTTGTCTCCTCTCCACTTCCGATACCGGAATGGTACTGGCTGGTAACTTATACGAGAGCCAACTCACATCCATCATGTCCGGTACGTCAGAGGGTTTCTCAAGAAGCCTACATATGACGCCATGTGAATCGGGCTCTTGAATGGTGGGAGGGACCTCTTCAATGATGACAGTGGCCTCTTGAACGGTGGGAGGGGACTCTCGAGGAATGATAGGGGGGCCTCTTCAACGATAGGAGTGGACTCTTGAGGGATGACAGGCGAGTCGGGCTTCTTCTTGCGATGTTTTCGCACTATTGGGGTGTACGGAGACTTAATAGCACGTGCACGCTGTCTGATGCGTGAACTCCGTCGTGCAAGCATAACCCGACATAAAGCATCCACTCTATCGGGCCGCTAAATAATTAAATACAAAAATCAGTAAATAAACAGACATGATATTTAAACAGTGAAAACAAAGACAAATATGTTTCTAACTTGCATTGTATTCACCCAAGTCATTATTCTATCATAGTTCACAAAATGCATCAGATAACAAAGACAAATATGTTTCAAACTTGCAACACTGTCAAGTTAGTATTTGTCTTTGTTTTGTCTATTGGTTGAAGTAATGCAATCCATTCAAGTTTCAATTTACAGAAGAAGAAATAGTTTACTTTCGCAACACGAAACTTAAAATCGCAACGCGAAACCAAAATTGCAACGAGAAACCAAAATCGCAACGACAGAATCGCAATGCGAAATGAAAATCGCAACGAGAGAATCGCAATGCGAAATGAAAATCGCAATGCGATTTTGGTTTCGCGTTGCGATTTTGTCGTTGCGATTTTGGTTTCGCGTTGCGATTTTGGTTTCTCGTTGCGATTCTCATTTCGCGTTGCGATTTTAAGTTTCGTGTTGCGAAAGTAAACTATTTCTTCTTCTGCAAATTGAAACTTGAATGGATTGCATTACTTCAACCAATAGATAAAACAAAGATAAATACTAACTTCAGGGTATTAGTTTAGCAGAATTGGCAGCAACCGAACAAATTTACTTTCAACCAAAAGACAAAACAAAGACAAATACTATACTATTTCACAGTAGCAGAATTGGCAGCAACCGAATAAATTTACTAAGCAATCTAAGTGAAATGGCTAATCTAAGTGAAATTACGAGTAAATTTATCATCAAGTTAAATATGGAAAATCTTAAACTTACCTCGTTGCGTAGAGTATGAACCTCATTCTGCAACGATACTATCATCTCACGTAGAGCGGCAACCTCACCACGTAAAGTTGACACTTCCACACGCCATGCACCATCGTTATCGCGTAGAGTACCGATCTCCTCACGCAAGGCATTGACCTCATCACGTAACTCCCTTGACTCATCCCGTGGAGGTGGAGGTGGAGGTGGAGAACAGGGAGATAGGAGTCGTGGCATCTTTGCCGGTCGCCTATCATGAGGTGATGGTGGAGAAGAGGCTCGATGATCTGACGGGATAGGTGATGGCTCTCGTTCTAGAGGTGTATAGTGGGTCGATCAGGTGATGGCTCTGGTGAGGTGATGGCTCTCGAAGTGGAGGAAGTGGATGCTGCTCATCATCCGTGCCATCAAAAAAACTCTGACTAGCTTGCCACCAATCAGTGGCAAGCTTTTCCTCCGTGGGTGTCAGTCTTTGTAATGGAATGTTGGCCTCCTAACAATATAAAAACTCAAACAAAGTTAAACGTCTACTATTAATAAATTGTTTATATATTATATGAAAGTATTTGTGTTAACTTACATTATTTATTGTCGCATATGGTATTAAGTCTTCCCAATCCAACAGATTTTTCCTCTTCCAGGAAATAGCCCTGGGAATATCATTTGACGTTTTTATTGCATATGTACGCATGCTGGGGAAAGCCTCGAATATCCAAATCTACAAACAATATAATAACAAACATTAGTAATTGTTAAATAATTAATTATAATTTTAGAAACATTATATAGAAATTCTTACCTTAAAGGCCCAAACAAAGCCTGAAAAAGTGTATTTCGACCCATCGCCACACAAACTTTTGCGGTCATCAAAGGCAGTAGACAACTTAGTCCAGGTAGCTTTCCATATATACGAACCCCACGGAAACAGATTCCATGTTCAGGTCCTCTACCAATAATATTAGCTCCCGAGGAATAGGTTGTCTGGCCTCTCTGCCTAAAAGCCGGCATACAAAAGTAGTAGAAGGCATACTCGGATAACATCGACGTCATCCATCCGAGTGAAACCATCTTTCTTATTAAACAATTTCTTCAGGTCGTCGACGTGTAGGTTCGGCTTCTCCATTGACTCATCCGGAAAAACCCGGGATAACCATGATGGGCGGGCGATATGACGAGTGTACCGGCCTACATCATCGTGTCCGAATCGTAGACCAGTGATTAAGCAGAACTCCTTCCGCCCAAAACAAGTATACGCTGGTGGAAAATGAAACCATATCTCTTCCTCACCACGTTGTATACTGTCGGGTAGATTTGATGTCATGGTCTGAAGCCACAAATGGGTCAAATTAGCATCTCCACCCGGATGCTGTACTCTCAGCCATGGCCCGAAGCAGGTTTCCTCAAACAATTGTCTTTGTGCAGGTGAAAGCTTCGAAGCAATTATAGTGGCTAGGCTAACTTTATTCCTTAATGTCAATGAAGCCGAAAAAAATTTCTACAAAAACAATAAACATACCAAGTTAGATATACCAAAAACTACACTGTGAAGATATACCAAAAACAATAAACATAAAGAGTAGTAGTTTATTCTTGAAACTAAATTTGCAACACTGTTTTGTCTTTTGGTTGAAATGAAAATCGCAACGAGAGAATGACTATCGCAACGCGAAATGAAAATCGCAACGCGAAATGAAAATCGCAATGCGATTTTGGTTTCGCGTTGCGATTCTCTCGTTGCGATTTTCATTTCGCATTGCGATTCTCTCGTTGCGATTTTCATTTCTCTCGTTGCAGATAGTCATTTTCGCGTTGCGATTTTCATTTCTCTCGTTGCGACTCTTCTGCAAATTGAAACTTGAATGGATTGCATTACTTCAACCAAAAGACAGAACAAAGACAAAGACAAATACTAACTTGAAAATCGCAATGAGAGAATAGTAACGCGAAATGAAAATCGCAACGAGAGAATCGTAACGCGAAATGAAATCTAAGTGAAATGGTTAATCTATTATTGAAATGACCAGTAAACTTATCATCAGTTTCAATATGAAAAACCTACAATAATGCAAAATTTTCAAAATAAAAATAATTAAAAAAACTAACCCTCGGAGGTTGATTTTCTATTTCTGAATGATTGTGAGGGATTTCTGACCGTGAATGGTTGTGAGGGATTTCGCCGGAGATGGGGACGGAAATCTTCGGAGATGGGGACGGATTTCGCCGTAGAGAGTGAGAGATAGAGATGAGACTGAGTTGTGATTTTAGGTTTTAGGTTATGAGTTGCGATTACGGGATTTTCTCTTAATATTCGTTTTTGTAATTTGAAAATAAAATACGCATAGCGATTCTAATGGCGCTTTAAAAATCGCGTTGCGATTTACGGATACGCGTTGCGATTTTACGTATTGTCGTTGCGATTTACGGATACGCGTTGCGATTTACGGATACGCATTGCGATTTACGGATACGCATTGCGATTTACGGATACGCGTTGCGATTTTTACGGATACTCGTTGCGATAGTAAGAATCGCGTTGCGATTTTGGAAACTTATTTGCGATTCTGGGGATCGCGTTGCGATTTTTATTTCGCGTTGCGATTTTGTTGGTCATTTTGGCAAATCCAAAAAAAGTTGGTTAAAATCGTATATTATAAGGCATTTTTGGTCACTGAGGCGATTTTCTCTAAAATAATAGCACGGCAATAACGATTTAATGATTTATAAATATTAAATTAAATTAAAATTTAATATTAAGTTGTACAAAACTAAAAACTTATATATTTTATCATACATTATACTAAAGTTTCGGTATATTTTTGACCGATACTTTTTGGTGTTAAAATATTATTGTAAAAAGAAGAGAGAATGTGCTACAATGGAAACATCATTAAGTGGTGTGCCACTGATATTTTAGGTGAATTATATACTGAGTAAACTTATATAAAATTTATAAAAATTTTATAGAAAGTATTTAAAAATTTGCTAGATCCGTAAAATATTCTTAAACAGTACCTAACAAGTAATTAATTTATATTAAGGTGATATTTTTGTAAAAAGACCAAATTTTTTCCTTGATAACTTAAAGACGCCTAGAGATCTTCCATAAACAATCCAACACCCTCAAGACGCAGGGAGATCCCAAACAAGACGCCTGAAGACACCGGGAGATCCCAAGCAAGACGCCAAAAAAATCTGGTTCAACCCTGAAGACGCCGAGAGATCCCAAATCTACTGTAGAAAACACCCCATTTGGGGAATTAATTGGATGATCACGTTAGTTTGGGAATTAAACACTCCCTGTAGCGTTATCTGGGCACTTTTGCCCCTTTTAATATTGTGAACTTAAAAAGAGTGTTATATATATATATTAATATTACTTTGAATATTATGTAAAATTTAAAAAAAATATTTTATATAAATCGATTTATCCACAATTTAACCTAATTGAACCAATGAATCAGTGAATCAGTATCTTCATCGATTTAAGTTTCGGTCCGTTTTAAAAATATTGGTTAAAAGAACCGAGAAAATGGAATGAAACAACTTTTTTAAAAATGTTTTAGAAGTTTTAACCATGGGGCATGTGGGGATAAACTTTGAATTCAAAACAGCTAGACTCAATGAGGAACCGGCCAAATCAGCAAGCAACCAAGGTCAAAAAGCAAACAAAAAAAGGGAAATAATGAAAGAGCAGCCAACTCCAGCAAACCTTGCCTTATATTATACTAGTCATTTCCCTCATTTTTTTTGGCTGACACTGCAAATTCTATTTCAAGCAGAATAAAAAAACCCTAAAAAGCAGATAATAATTAAAGAAACCCCAGAAAGAAAGTATATTTGTTGGAACAATTTATTGTCCAAAGCGTTACGTTTGGCATCCTTTAAGAATCTGTTGCTTAGAAACTGAAGCTGAAGTTGAGCAATTAAAGTACAGATACGAATTAAACAAAAAAAAAGTCTTTAAAACCGCAAGGAATTGATTTCCACTGAGACAAAAAAAAGGTTGGACTTTTAGTTTGGTTTTGCCATGGCGTTTTTTTCCATGATTTGTTGCGGGAAGGGCGTCGATCGGTAAGTTTATCATTGGTTTACTATAAATCACAACTTTTTTCTTTGTTTTAGAAAAAAACAATTATTTCTTCTGGAAAAGTTCTATAGGAATATTTTTTTAGTGATTTATGGTTTTGAACTTCGAGATATGGTAAGGGTTAGAGAAGTCTAGGTTTATTTAGTTTTTGAAAAATATCAACTGGGTGTTGATTAAAATTTCCTTCCCTTTTGCTCCCCCTTCCCCCATGTATATTAGGTTTCCAAGAAAGGAAGAAGAAGGTAAATATAAGTTTTGATCTTTCTTTCCTTTTGGAACTGTGATTTGAGTTGGGAAAATAGTTAATTAAGCTTAACATAGCTACTTGTTTTTCGTAATCTGGTGTCAAATTCACACGGATGTGCTGACTTTCACCTTGTAAGCAAAGTGTCTTTTCGGCAGTCAATTTAAACCCCCCGGTTTGAATGTAATTAATCAATATTGTTTCATGTTTCTTCGATTGTATTTTTAGTGTCTAACGTTGTATGATTCTACAGGAAGGAGAAGCAGCAGCCGACATGGAGGATATTTTCGTTGAAGGAATTGCATTCAGCTACCAATAACTTCAATTATGATAACAAGCTTGGAGAAGGGGGTTTTGGCAGTGTCTATTGGGGTCAGCTATGGGATGGATCACAGGTATGTATTATTTTGCATTTTTTGGGTTCTTTTAATTAAGCGAATTGCCATTTTGTTGCATCCAATGTTTCCCTAATCTGTGTGGTTCGAAAGATTTGTTGGTTAATACATTCTTGTATCCTCTTATGGTTCACTTTCGTAGGTATGATTGGTCTTCTTGTGGAATGAGTTAGTAGGTCTCTGGTTGTTGATTTGAGAAAAAACTTAGGTAATATCAACTGTTCTACCGTGCATCGTACTTTAGCTCGAATCTAGTTTACTATTTGTGAAAATACTTCTACTTTGCAAGCATATTCCCAGACCGACTACTGCTACTTTTACTGGTCGATATCCACTTGAATCTCATTTAACGAGGCATAAATGGTGCCACTCTGTTGAGTTAATGGTGCTGAAGTTTCTTACAATGGGACTTGTAATAAGGTCTGATGTGCTATAACTTCCGACCTAAAATTGTTCGACGATAGGTGTAAGGGCTAACTTGACGAAGTCGCAACAAACACAAATCAAAATGATGTGAAACAACATTGGAATGGAACAATCTTCAAAGTAGCACCTCTCTTTCTCTAAACAATGCATGTAGTCTCTGGAATTCCTTGTTTATTTGTGTTGCATTCAAAAGACCCTTCTTGACATTTTCCTGTTGATTTGTGTTTCTTTCAATCTCATTCTCCTTGTATACTTTCAGATAGCAGTTAAGAGGTTGAAGGTGTGGAGCAATAAAGCAGAAGTGCAGTTTTCGGTTGAGGTTGAGATATTGGCAAGGGTTCGACACAAGAATCTACTGAGTTTGAGGGGCTATTGTGCCGAAGGGCAAGAACGCCTGATTGTATATGACTACTTGCCCAACATGAGTTTGCTTTCACATCTTCATGGACATCATTCAGCAGAATGTCTTCGTGATTGGACCAGAAGGATGAATATTGCAATTGGCTCTGCTGAAGGAATAGCGTAAGTGTTGGATCCAGTTTTCTTTTCTATTCTAACTCATTCTAAGGAAAATGCTAACCCAGCCTCTTTTACTTGATCACTTCAGCTATCTTCACCATCATTCAACCCCACACATCATCCATAGAGACATCAAAGCTAGTAATGTGTTGCTAGATTCAGATTTCCAGCCTCAGGTTGCGGATTTTGGGTTTGGAAAGCTCATCCCTGACGGTGCAACACATGTGACTACTCGAGTCAAAGGTACCCTTGGGTACCTTGCCCCTGAATATGTTGCATTAGGAAAAGCCTCAGAGAGTTGTGATGTGTACAGTTTTGGCATTCTTTTGCTAGAACTTGCCAGTGGTAAGAAATCCCTAGAGAAAGTGAGTGCAACGGCAAAACGCCCGATTGCAGAATGGGCTCTCCCACTAGCTTCCGAGGGGAAGTTCAGTGAAGTGGCAGATCCGAGGTTGAATGGTAAGTATGTGGAAGAGGAGTTCAAAAGAGTTGTCCTCGTTGCACTTGTTTGTGCTGATAACCGGCCTGAGAAAAGACCTACCATGCTTGAAGTTGTCGAGCTGCTCAAAGGAGAGTCCAAACAGAAATTAAGTGAACTAGAAAATAATGAACTGTTCAAGAACCCACAGTTCTTTGTTTGTAATGATGAGACACCGGGCAGCGAAGAGAGCTCAGACGTAATCAAGGAAGAGAAGGATCCTGCACTGGCGAAAGAGAAAGAGACAGGGCAGGAGAGCCCTCAAGATGGTTAACGCCATGGACAAAATTGAAGAATTAGATGTCAAAATTTGTATCTTTGATATTATAAATATATATTATGTGTTTCTTTTGCTTTCTTATTTTCTACTCATAAAAGGTGGCAATGGCAGCCCATTGTTAGAATCTCCAATGCCAGCCAACATAATCCGTGTTGTAAATTGGAAGCATGTTTTTACAAGTTGTGTGTTATCTGGGGGGCAACTTTTCTGTTCTTGTAATCCTGTTTTCATATAAATATTTGGTGGATAGCCGGTTTGTCATTTGCATCTCTGATTTCATACAACTCCGATGCATTGAGCGACATTTAACTTCGCTGCTTGCTTGTCAGATGAAAAAACCATCCCAAAGGCTGCTGATCATTCAAGAAATCATGTTCAGGTTGTGTTAGATGAAGTTGCTGATTACCCCACTGTGGTGGCAGCGAATTATGGTAAATTAGTCTGTTAACTCGTTGAAAAGATGGTTATATAATGAATAATATCCTATTTAAATTATTTTGATAAATTAAATATAAGTTATTATACTATAAATATGGAGTAATAGATTATTAAAAAAATATATATTTAGTTATAAAAAATAATGTTTATGATGGATTAGTTTTATATAAATTTAAAATTTTTTAATGAGTGAGAATATAAGGTCAAAATCAACTCATTTTTTTAATATTTTCTTATTTTTTATTTTTAATCTCAACCGTTTATATTCACTCATTTAATAGTCTTAAATTTGTGTAAAATTAAAAAAAAAAATTGTGTAACTGAATCTTAACTTTCATTTAATGTTTATAAAACTTATACATGTATATTATTGTGTATTTAATTTTTTTATATTTATGTTTAAAAAATATTTAAATATGAATGTTAATCTATTTAATTTAAAAAAAAATAATATATTTGGCTAAAAAATCCGAAGTGCATAGTGAGTAAAAAAAACCCGAAATTTACAAACAAAAAATAAAATCTGCCGTTTAACGGTCGTTTCTTAAAAAACGAATTTTCAGCAAATCAAAAATAAATATCAGAAACGAAATCTCCGCATCCTCTACCGCTTATTTCTCACTTAAGCTTCGTCTTCGTCGAGATTCATATAAAAGAAAAATAAAAGAAAATCTTAAGGGGTGAAATTTTAGAGTTTGGATTTGCATATGGAAATCTATGAGGAGAATCCTATCAGAAATCGTACCTATAACTTACGTGTTTTGAATGTGCTGGAGAGAGGGCGTTCAGGTTCCCTGATATTTAGCAGAATCAGGAGCGGTGGAGACAACGGCGGCTACGATGACGACGATCTCGTTGAAAGGCAGTTGTTGTATCGGAAGCTTCCTGATCAAAATCTTCTCAACCTCTCCATTCTAAAGCTCGACGGTTCTCTTTTTGGTAAATCTCCATCGGGTCTCATTTCACACTCAACATTTCTTTTTTCTTTTTTTTTTCCTGTTAAGTCATGCTTAGTTCCTATTAGTAATTATTATCATTTTTTAAATACCGAGACAAAGGAAAAAATAAAACTTAAAAGTGGATATGAAAAGATAAAATGAATCACTTATTGTTGATGAATATTGTTATATATTTATTTATAGCCTTTTTTTATCTTAAAAGTAAAATTCAAACAAAAAGAGAGAGAATGTTACTTTTTCTATCTTTTTGAAGTAAAATGAGGAATCAATCCTCTGATAATCTTGTAGTAAAGTAATACAAAAATTAGAGAAGTGCATTTAAGTTTTAACAAACCAAAAATTACCAAATCCTATTTTGCTTATGAAAAAAAAATAATTGAATTAGCTCATTTTACAGGTGTAGATGTTGGAGGGAATGCTACAGTTTCAGAGCTTAAGGTAGCTATAGAGGAACTTTTTGCAGAACCGCCAGGGGAAACTCAAGGCTGTATTTCATGGTATCAACTCGTTAAAACAAGTTTATGGACTTTTACATTACGACTCGCGAGTGATTGCGATGCTTTTGACTGATTAAATGTAACTTTGCTATGTCGGTTTTGTTTGTTTTGAGTTGGATATTAAATTTGATTTATAGATTTTATAATATCGATGAAGTTGATGTTGTTTTCTCAGGTCTCACGTTTGGGGGCACTTTTGCTTGGTTTATGAAGGTCAGAAGCTGGTTAACAACAAGGCTTGCATTAGAAATTATGGGATCAAAGATGGGGATCAGGTTTTGTTTTTCATACTTGATAGTGCTAGTAGTATTTACAATTTGGAAATATTGATTGAACGCTGGCAACAACAACAACAAAAAAATTGGCTCTTTTTTGCTAATTGATATAGCTGCTTTTATCATTTTTTTGTTTGATTGCTCCTTTTATGAGTTCAAGCTGCAATTTGTTTGTTTGTTTTCTGGTGCAAACAGCTTGAATTCGTCAGGCACATGTCTGTTAACCAATCACCTATCGAAAGGTGTTTAAAACAGCACAATGATCCCTGCAAATGGTACTGAAATTCGATAAAAACCCTTGTTTATTCTGTAGTCCTCAGTGGTATTAGATATTTGATTATGTTGAATTGTATGAGGCATGCCATATGTTTTATCTTCTTTTTCAATTAATCAATGTTTCATGGTGCTCTGTGCGTAGCTTGCCACCAAGATCTTGTTATGATGAAGAGAGACAACAGAATCCTGTGAATAATCATAACTACAAGGATGAAAATCAAGAGTATTACGAAGACGAAGAGGAGGCAACATCTCTGCCAGAGTTCAAGTTTGCTCACTTCTTAAGGCGATGGATCTCCTACACCAGATTGCGGGGTGCTTCGCGAAGGATGTTGGAAGGCCGGAGTTGTTCTCCAAGGTTCAATCTGCACCGTTGAGGAGTTTCTGATCATCCACCAGCCGTAACCAAAAAAAAAAAAAGAGTGATGGCTTTCGCACTGCATTGTGCCATTGGTCTGGTATTTTGTTTGTTGAAGATTTCTCTGAGACAATCTGGATGTCAGTGAAGAGTCAATCACTTGCTTACCAGGACTAGTTTAATGTAATTGTTTACTTACCAGGATGTATATGGAGCTTTTTTTTAAAAGCTAAAATGATGGGCAGCCAGTTTCCGATGCCTACATATGGTTTTTTTATAATTTATTTTCATTGTTGTTAGTCAGTCAATATCTCTAACATGGATCATTGTTTTAAGAATTCATTGAAATGAATTAATGCAATTAAACAAGGGAGCAAGAATAAAGGTTTTCATGGGTTAGATTGGATCAAATTTGATCGGAAATATTTAAAATGTATTGATTCAATTTGACATATTTTTTCCCATCAGAAATTTTATTTATTTGGTTTAAATTTCAACATTTGCTTATCTTTTTTTTTTAAAAAAAATGATTTTTATTTGATCAAATTTTATATCCACGTCAGAGTGCATAAAATTAAAAACAAAATCAAATAATAATGATGAGCACTTAACATGCTTGCGTATGAGAGTTTTTGCCAAAACTTTGAAATATAATTTACATAAGAAATATTATTCCTGATAAATATTGAGAAATTGGTTCTAACTATTTAAAGAACATTAAAATATTGTACCAATAATAATTTTGCTTACCAGTTGCCACCACTGGTATCAGGTTGGATCCATAAGCCTACTTGTAGTCTTTCATTGGACCAAAAGATTTTCTTCTTTTTTCAAAGGAATTTTCGTTTCCTCGGTATCATTCACCTGTAAAGAAAGAAAGAAAATGCAGGGAACAGAGTTTAAATCTCTGATGTAAGCATGGCATTAAGTTGCGGCCGCAACGCAGTGTAATGGCCGCATCGTAATGATTTTGAATGTCACCACGACGCAATATTAACGTAACGCAACCGCCTGCAACACGTTAAAAAATTACACCCATGACAGCCGCAACACGTTACGTAACGTCCGCAGCATCCACAACCGCGACAGATGCCGCAACCGCTATTTTATACTATGGATGTAAGCTTCTTTTTTACTTTATCTTCTTCTTCTTTGTGTCGTTTCTTTTAATGGTTTATCCATATTCCATTTCTGATCTAATGGAAGGAAACAATATGAAGCATTCCCTTGCTTTCATTCCAAGAAAAAAGGGAAATGAACTGTTGAATCTGTTCCATTAAATCCTTACGGGTTCAGTTTGTTTTTCTTGATACGAATATATGTTTGATGCATTGAAGCTGGTTCAATTTGTTTGTAGTGAAGCGAAATGTTAAATATAATTATTTTCAAGATAGCCCAAAACGAAACGTGCTCCTTTTTTCCCTCCCCAGGAAATACTACGAAGAAAATGATGGTGGAGAGCAAGAGCAAACAGGAAAGAAACTCAAGGAAAAAGAATCTGGAAGGATGATTGATGAGATAGTTGAAAAGTTTCAGTGCATGAACATTGCCAAGCGTGAAACAAATAAAAGAGGTAAACGAGGATGACAATTTTTTCTCCCTGTTTCTGTTTGTTAATTTATTCCTTAGAAAATATAAATTTTATGTCAAAGTTACTTGCCACCATGGTCGGTAAGTTGCCTCGGTGGCCACTTTCCGGTGCTAATCCCGAATGCTCGTCCATATGGGGTATGGCATATGTCTCGACCTTTGGGGTCTGACCAGCCTATCAGCCTCAGATTTCCTTGTAGACAACCAGGATACTACACTAGTTGGACTCTCATTTCAATAATCAACACCATATTATTTGTGATGTCTTAAGACCAAACTGTTGTTCCGATTGAAGTATTCTTTATGTTATTTGGTATGTAGATTATATCCATGAGCACAATGCACTCCTTACTCCCCAGCAGAGAAGTAAAGCCAGGCTCACAAATCATGACATTCCAGGTTATCATTAGTAATCTACTAAGCTATACCTTGTAAATATCCAACGTGCTTTTTACATGGAATGGCTTGGGGCAATGCATTTTCAAAGATTTTAGGTACACTTTGTGTGCATGCTCTCACAGTTGATATGGGTTGAAAGTTCAAAGTTTGGCACCGAATGGCGCATGATTCAAAGTTTGGCAGATTTTTTGTTGAAAAATGGTAATGGGAAAATTATAAATTTAGTCCTTACACTTTAGGATATTTATAAAATTAGTCATTAAGGTTCAACTATAAATACTCTAACCCATTTAGCTTTAAAATCATCCTAAATAATTTCTTTCTCCCAATACTAAAGAGTTTAGAGAGTTTTCTTGTGAGTTGTGAGTTTTTGTAAACAACTGTAAATTTTCTCTCCTTAGTAAAAAGATATGCAGCAGTCTGGAGACGTACGCATAATTGGTCGAACTCCGTTATCAATTTCAGGTATTATTTTTCCGTTTTTTATTTCGTATTCTCACTAATCTGGTTATAGGAAAATTACTCGTTTAATTTCCCAACAACTAGTATCAAGAGCTTTTGGTAGTGAATTTTGTTAGTTTTTCTGCGAGGTTACTATTCACATGAATAGTGAATTTCGTGAATAGTAAAATTTTGTCCGCGATACGAGTTTATCGACGGAGGTGTTCTAATACACGGTGGTTTGCAAGAATTGTCAGAAACGATCCAAAAGAAGTCAGATTCGAGTGGGAGCGATGGCTGCAGACGAAGGGAAGGTGAAAATTGAAAAGTTCGATGGTGCGGATTTTAGCTTTTGGAAGATGCAGATTGAAGATTTTCTGTACCAGAAAAATCTATATCAACCTCTCTCAAGAAAGCATCCAGAGGGCATAAAGAATGAAGACTGAGCTCTTCTCGACAGACAAGCCCTCGGAGTTATCCGACTGACGTTAACCCGCAATGTTGCTTTCAACATAGCAAAGGAAAAGACCACGGCGAGTCTTATGGCGGCTCTCTCCAGTATGTATGAGAAGCCATCAGGCTCAAACAAAGTTCACTTGATGGGGCGATTATTCAATTTGCGGATGGCGGAAGGGGCATCAGTAGCTCAACACATAAATGAACTCAACACAATTGAGTTCTGTGGAAATTGAATTTGATGATGAAGTTCGAGCTTTAATTCTCTTATCATCTCTACCAGACAGTTGGAATGCTACTATTACAGCAGTCAGCAGCTCGTCGGGAAACAATAAATTGAAATTTGACGATGTTCGGGATCTAGTATTGAGTGAAGAAATTCGACGGAGAGAATCGGGTGAAGCATCAAGCTCCTCAGCCTTGCACACGGAGTCTAGAGGGATAACTTCATAAAGAAATCCAAATCGTGGCAGATCGAAATCTAGAACGGGAAAAAAAGATTTTAAATGTTATAATTGCAGCAAGAAGGGTCACTTTAAAAGAGATTGTCAAACACCGAAGAAAGATATCGGCACACAGGAATCTGGCAATGTGATAGAGGAAACATGTGATGACATGATTCTAAGTGTCAACAATCCGATTGAATCATGAATCTTGGATTCAGGGGCATCTTTCCACTCTACCCCATGTCAAGAAATCATGGAGAACTATGTCAGTGGTGATTTTGGGAATGTTCATCTAGCTGATGATGAAACCTTGAAGATCTTCAGAAAATGAGACATCCGATTAAAGTTACCAAACCAGACCACCTAGAAGCTGAAAGGAATGAGACATATTCCTGGCCCCAAAAGAAATTTGATTTCTATTGGATAGCTTGATGGAGAAGGATAATGTACAACTTTTTTAGGCTGTGAATGGAAGATTACCAAAGGAGCACTCGTCATTGCTTGTGGTAAGAAGACTGGTACTCTCTATATAACCTCAAATTTAGAGAATATCATTGCAGTAACAGATGCTGATGGAAAATCAAACCTGTGGCACCAAAGGCTTGGCCATATGAGCGAGAAAGGGATAATACCCTTTTGTTAAAAGGGAAGCTACCGGATCTAAAGAATATAGATGTCGGACTATGTGAGGATTGAATCTTTGGCAAACAAAAGAAAGTCAATTTTGCAAAGATTGGCAAGACACCCAAGGATGAAAAGTTAGAGTTGGTTCATACTGATGTATGGGGACCATCTCCAGTTTCATCTCTTGCAGGCTCACTATATTATGTCACCTTTATCGATGATTCTACAATGAATGTATGGTTTTATTTTCTCAAGAAGAAATCAGAAGTCTTTGATACCTTCAGAAAATGGAAGGCCATGGTGGAAAATGAGACTGGTTTGAAAGCCAAGCGGTTGAGGTCTGATAATGGAGGAGAGTACAGAAATAGTAGATTCAGAGAATTTTGCGCAAATAATGGGATCAAGATAGAGACAACAATTCCCATGACACCGCAGCAGAATGGTGTAACAGAGCGTATGAACAGAACTCTGAATGAACGTGCCAGAAGCATGAGGATACATGACGACTTACCCAAATTACTATAGGCTGAAGCTATCAACATTACAGTTTACCTGATCAATCGTGGGCCCTCAGTTCCCTTGGATGGAAGAATACCAGAGGAAGTTTATAGTAGAAAAGAAATAAACATTTCACACTTAAGAGTGTTTGGTTGTATTTTTTATGTACACATAAATTCTGCTGAAAAAAGTAAACTTGATGCTAAGTCCAACAAATGTGACTTTGTTGGTTATGGTGGTGATGAGTTTGGTTACCGGTTTTGGGACTATTAAAATCGAAAGATCATCAGAAGCAGAGATGTCATTTTTAATGAGAATATGATGTACAAAGACAGGTCAACCACAGAATCAAGTAGCTTCAAAACCGAAACTGAAACAAAGGAATTTGTTGAGTTTGAGGAGATTTCTGGAAATGATGTTCAGATTAGTCATGAAGCAGTTCAAGAAGAACCAGGCATACCAGAACTAAGACGCTCCTCCAGAATTCCTAAACCAACCCAGCGTTATTCGCCTTCTTTGCACTACTTATTACTGACTGACAATGGTGAACCAGAGTGCTATGATGAATCAATGCAGGTGGAGGATTCACTCAAGTGGGAGTCTTCCATGAAAGATGAGATGAACTCGCTTATGTCAAATCAGACGTGGGAATTAGCTAAATTACCACCAGGCTAGAAAGCGCTCCATAACAAGTGGGTTTACAGGATTAAAGAAGAGCACGATGGGAGAAAACGCTACAAATCAAGATTGGTTGTCAAAGGTTTTTAGCAAAAAGAAGGTATTGACTACAATGAAATTTTCTCTTCAGTCGTGAAGTTGTCTAC